TAGCGTAACGAGACCAAATTCATTGACAAAAACAACCGACTATGATTGATTTCACCCAACACCGCAAAAGCTGCAATATACAAGACAGGCGACAAAAAATGGATTTAGTTGTGGTTCACCACCGAACACCGGTGTCAGTTTTTTTCATTTTGGCGTGCTTATCAAAAACCGGCGCCTTTTGTGTCATCTTCAAAAATGACCACTTAGAAACCTGAAATCTTTCTCCAATGGCTGGAATTTTCCGGCTTTGAAACTCGACACCCAAAATTGTGATATTTTGGTGTCAACGTCCCAAGCTAGACATGGCAGGAGTATTAGCAAAAAAGCACCCGTCTGGATTCATGAAAAAAGACCCAAGCGGGTCAGGCAGGTCTGCCAGTTATAAATAACCTGTAAGTTGTTAATTAAATATGAGCTTTCGTGAAGTACGAACCGCTGGGATTCATTTGTGCAGCATTAGCGCAGCAAAGAGGGCAGCTGTCGCAGACAATTAACAGAATAGAAGAAAAAGAAAGGGGGGGAAAAAGTTGCCGAAGCCAAGCAAAGAATGTCGAAGAAGCCCAGAACACACAACGTCTCTGTCCTGGATGCTCATGGATGGCTAAAGCAACAGCAAGGACACTAAAAGAAGAACCGAATGTACACGTGAGCTGCGTTTACTTTCTGCCAAGCGTCAATCAAGTTTTATTTGGACGTATTTCTACTTTAGAAGAGAAACACAACCAAAACACAGTTTGTACGGTTGTGATGCGAACGGTATCAAATGGGAACAGGTTGTTGGATTGTCTTGTGTCTTGTCTGCGATCTGCTTTTTTTTTCCTTTCCTACAACCTTACAAAAAAAAAACCTCAAAATAAATACTCTGATGAACTGAGACTGAGATAATTTTTTGGCCAGGGGTTGTATTTGCAACCACCGTGGGCTGAAAACAGATCCCGGGTGTAGCAAGAGCTGGTTTAGCAGGTGGCTGATGTCAGGTGGCCTCAGGACCAACAAGGCGAGGCCCTGCCAGTCATCTCGGACACTGTTGTTTACTTTCATGAGAACTTCACTGCAACTCCGTCATGTGACGGAAGGCGCAATAATTAACTTTAGTGAGGTTTTAACCATTCGCTTGTCGGTGGACCATTGAGGTCATTTTGATAGAACACTACAAAAGTCAGATAGACAACATTGTTTTGTTTTATATTGATGTTACACTCTGCTTGCATCGGGGCCAAGTCGATCCACCAAATAGCTCACTGTGTGTGTGTGTCTGTGTGTCATTTTGTAATCATTGCCACCTACATGACCTCCCGGGAGGGTGGTTCGGCAGAGGTCTGCGGTCTAAGAGTAAAGGTCTGTAGTCAACAATGTTCTGTCGTGCTGCGCCGCTAGTATATTAACCCTTTCAGGGGCAGCGGTTACTACAGGTTATCATTAATGGTTGATGAGCGAGATAAATGACTCAATGAAAAAAAATTCAGCGGGAATTATTGACATACCTTGTCATTTAGGACTCAAGCGCATGGGCGGCCAGCGGACGGCGGGTAACAGCAACAGCAGCGACAACACTGCAAAAGAGACAAAAGTGTGACACGATATGTCGTGAAATTGAGATTCGTCGCATCGAACATTCGGTACAAAGTGCACGATGCGAAAGTGTAAAAATGCTTCAGACTCAAGCCCCACAAAAACATGTAAAGCGCTGTTGCAGCTCAGCTCGCAGCAAGCCGTGTGCTTTAGGCAGTAGGTCAACTTGAATGTTATCCATCGGGAGCCATGTTCTAACACTTGTCCTTATTTGGGTCACGGGTGAGCTCGAGTCTATCCATACAAATTATTGTATTTATTTTTTGTCTCATTTACTGATGTACTGCATAACATTTCTTGCAAAGGAAAAACCGCCTTCAAACCAAGATACGTAACTCAATCAAGATGTTTACGAGACGTCTTAAGGCACATATCTACGTTTGTCTGGCGAAAACACGGCCGGCAGCGTCTCGGCTCGAAATACTGCAAAAACTTTCGAATGGTATGGGTTTGGAGTTCAACTAGAGGTCAATTTGAAGTCGTGAATGCAACAAAAAACAAAAGTAACACTTTAATTTAGCCCGAATTAGATTTTTTTTGGTTTGTTTTTAATGTGACAATGACATGAATGCAACAAAAAACAAAAGTCACACTTTAATTTAGCCTGAATGAGATTTTTTTTGGTTTGTTTTTAATGTGACAATGACTGGTGTGCTCTTCTAACTGGGTCACAGGAACAGTACGGGCACAGATGGATGATTTATTCAATGGCCATCATCTGCTGATCATTCTGTTTGTACGGAGAACTGAGAAATAATCGTCCATAACCCCTTGGATCATGAAAAAAAAAAAAAAACAACAACAAAAAAACAAAGATAAGGCTTATCAACCAGAGCATCTATCAGCTAGATGTGCATCTTAAGTATAAATTATCCCACCATAATTTTTCGGCGCATATTTGTCTATTCTATGTTTAGCAGGCAGCTTACAGTTTTGTATTTGCTGATAGTTTTTTAAAATTTTCCTTTTATCATTTGCATCAAACATTTTTGTATTTTAATTTTTTTAACCTTTTTTTTTGCTGTTTTTCAAAATATTTATTTTCAAGAAAATTATGATATAAATCCTTGTTATACATTTTTGTGTTACCAGGAGTTTGTGTGTGTCATATTTGTGTTTGATTTCCGTTTGCATTTTCTTTCTTTATTAGAAAGGAAACTGTGGTTGTTTTCGGCTAATTTTTATGTTGGTTTTTTTTTTCTGTGTGTGTGTGTGTGTGGGGGGGGTTCCTTGTACTTCTGTAGTCGTCAAATAATTGTTTTTTTTTCTGTGTGTGTGTGTGTGTGTGTGTGTGTGGGGGGGGGGGTTCCTTGTACTTCTGTAGTCGTCAAATATTCTATACATGTATAAATATTTGAAGGGTGTTATTTATATATTTCGCATGAACTTCTTAAACTTCGGAGGATGTTATTTGTATTATTTTTGGAAGGAAAAAAAAATGAAGCGAAACATGCCAGCGGGCTATTATGCTAGGACTGATTTCACTTCTCCCTTGACTTCTCTCAACATGTCACTGACAGGAACTAAGCCTGCCACAAATGCTTTGAATGAAAACAAGGGTGCTTTTCACACATTTGACAATGTTGGAAGATGTACAGCAATGAGTATTATGGGATGGCAAACAGAGCGGAGGGAGGCTTCCTCTCCCCGGTGGAGATGCGACATGTGTCCCCCGTCTTTGATCAAGGGTTAATTCAACCAGGTCAAGTTTTTGGATTCCAGTGTCCAGACGCCAACCGGTGTTTATTTGGGGGTTGTGGGGTCGTCACGCTGTCAAAACAAACAAAGACTCTTGCAGCAGACCTCCAGTGAAGCAAAAGCTCTTCCGTGTTCCTGCTCAGTTTCATACACATTCCCAAACATGGGAGTCAAAGATTGTTGGAGAAGATGCACCTAATCTTAAATGGATTAAATGACCAGAGCTAAACTGATAAATGTACTGGTCAGAAAATGAAACTGCAAATTAATCTATGATGAAGAAAAACAACAAGAACCCAGTAAGAACAAGAAGAAAACGCTCCAAAATAATGAGAATTACAAGAACAGGAATAAAATGAATAACAACAACCAGAACAACAAAAATACTAAAAAGAACAAGACCCAACAAGGACAAGCATAACCAATACAAGAACTGGAATAGCTCAGAACAAGAAAAAGAGCAATACGAATAAAAACAAGCACTATCGCAGGAACAAAATGATGCACCAGCAGGCTGGGTATACTGATCATCAGCCTTGGCTATCTTAAAAACTTCAAATAACACAAATATTTAAAATAATTCCAAATCGAACTAACATTTTGCCTGTGAAACGTTATAAATTGACCATCCTGTCCAGTATCGGTTCCCTAAAACCCAAAACAGCTGTTAACACCATTTAATACCATCCACCTCATAAATATCAACACATTACACCACGAATAAACATTCACTGTAAATATTTTTTTCAACAATGTTTCGATCATGTGGTGAGAAAACATCAGAACGCGAGTCGCCTGCAGCCACTACTCCGCCGCGGTTAGCTTGGCTAGCATCGTTAGCATGTCGCACGGAGGGGGCCCCCGGCGACCGGAGGCGATAAAAAAATGAGGTGAAAAACACCCACCTCGATGCTTTGCTGGTGTCACTACGTCCACCCTTGATGTCCAGACACAATTACAGTCCGATCTGACGCCGAAAGGAGAGCATGTGGTCGGCCAAAAAAGTCAGCATCGCTCGACGGTACTTGGGATGGTTTCCAGCTAACGGGGCTAACAGCTAGTCTCCCCACCCCCCCAACCGCACTTAAAGGGCAACTCGAAAGTGACCGTGTGGTGGGCTCATATCGGCAACAAAGCCGTCTTAAAGTTATTAAAGTCACACTTGACCCTAAACGGGATGCTTACAAAGTGGACACAAAAAGGGCTCAAACACAACTGCTACAGTTGATTTGCGTGAAGACGAGAAGCGAGAAATAAAATCCAAAATGTCCACACGAGACTCAACGAGGAAATACAAAAGCAGCTCGGCCGAGTGGGAGCTTGTCGTCCAGTGATGAAGTGTGCCGCGCCCAGATGTTTCCACTCATCGTCTCCTCCACGCGCGGTAGAATTCTTTCTCCGCGGGGCCGATGTGAAGCAAAGCAGAGAAGGTTTTGGCCACTCGCTGGCCCCTTCGCTCGGTTCCGTAATGAGCACCAAAGCCCCACACCGACTCGAGTCGCCTCCGCCTCCCGTAAACAGTCGAGCGCCGCGTCCGTCTTTGCTGTCTGCCCGCTGATTGTTCCTGCACGAACCCTCACACATCCATTGTAAACATGCATGCAAATTATATACCCAACTACGCAAAACAGCTGAAACATCCATGTAAAAAGATCATAAATATGTCAAAAATGAGGTAATTATGTTTAAACGACGTTCTCTCGTAAAGGTCCACAAAATATAATAAAACCAAATATGAAAATAAATGCATTCATTTCGTTCTTAACTTAATTACTCTTGATGATTATGCATTTTTGTGCAACAAAAACTATACAGTATACAGTATTTTTCGTAGTCGCCGACAAGCTTTTGGGATGCAATGGCGCCCACCAGTGGACAATTTAGCTCCTGTAGCCATCATTGACCTGCATGACCCACTTTTCCAGGGGTTGAAAGGGTATGAAGATGAAAGACAATCAAGGGTCTTCATTGTCCTAATGAGTTTTTGTAAATACTTTCAGAGAAGACCATGTTTTTGAAAACCCAAAGCAAATCTTCTTTTCAATGTGCTTCATTAATATCAAAGACATTGTAGTCCTCAAAGACCGATTGTGTTCTTTGTAAAGCTTAAAATACAATCTCATCTTCAAAAAGTTTTGCAAACATCATATGTAAACGTCAAATACAATATAGTTTCAAATGAAACATACACAAACACGCGCACGCTCACACACACACTCACACACAATTTGGGTACTTTAAAAACTTTTGCATCACAATGTGGCGTTGGAAGGGCTTATCAGTCCCTTGCACTGGAAGAAGGCGTCCTGGCATGGCGCTCGGCCAAGGAAGCTTTGTAGCATGTCCATGCCATCTACCGAGCCTCCCGCCTCGAGGATGATGCGTCTGTACTCTTTCCCTACCTGTTTGACAAGCAGACAATGAATGAAACTAACATTGATTAAACAAAGGGCGGGGGGGGCTGAGATTCGTTTTTCACATAGGGACAGGTAGTTTTTATTTTTAGTGCCTTAATTGACATTTAGAAACACTTTTTCACACCACTATAGTCTGATTATTTGATTGGAAAAACTAACCCGTTAGATGAGTTGTCACTGGAAATTGAGCCACATTACCGAACTCGACACGTGTGGTTTTATGCACATCAAAGACAATGTAGTGTTCACTGGATGTCCAAAGTGAATGTTTTGGATTGGTACCCACTTTCGGGTTGAGGATTCCTTCCTTTTTAAAGCGGCTGAAGTAGATGTCCATGGAGTAGACCTCGCTCCACAGGTAGCTGTAGTACTGGCCGTCGTATCCTCCTGCCAGGTGGCCAAAGCTGGCCATCATGTTGGTGCCTGCCAACACAGTTGGCAGAGGTACTCACGCTCTGTACTTAAGTAGAAGCACTGATATTAGTTTGAAAAAAAAAAGATTTCTGGTCCATGGGGATGTGGAGATTCAACTCCTTCAGTCAAAGTTAAAAAGTACAGACTGAAATAAAGACTGAAGGAGAGATGACAGACCTTCTGTGGCCGGAACACCCAGGATATCCTGGCATAATTTTGCGAACACTGCGGCCGAGTCCGCAGTGGAGCTGGTGTGGAGCGACTGGTCCACCTTACTGAGGACCACCTGACGCAGGTTCATCAGCCCTGAAAAAATGGCAGCGGAGACGTCAAACTTTGTGGCGTTCCCGTCCGAGTTTGACAATCGAGCGTGGTTCCAACCCGTGTTGGCCACCCTGGACGCAATGAGCTTGTCGAGCAGCGGCTCCGGGATGGCCGAGCCGTCCTTGTAGTGGCGGGACATCCTCCTCAGGGGCTCCTTCTCCCACACCCAATTCTCAAGCATTTGAGACGGAACCTCCACAAAGTCCGTCTCCACCTGCGTGCCGCTGAATTCCGAAAAGGTCACCTCCGCAAGACATCAAATCGAATTTAGGAGAGAATTTGATTACGGTAACCTAATGGACATGTTTTTGTAATCATCAAAGTCAGTATGCAGTTGTCTATGACTTAATATGGTAAGTTCTTCCGTAAACATCAGACATCCACAGTCTTTAACAACCGAAAGCACCGGTGTCAAAATCGGGGCCTGGGGGCCTGATGTGGCCCGCAACATCATTTTATGCGCTCACCTTGGAGCAGATCTCATGCATGACGTGTCCAAACTCGTGAAAGTACGTCTCGACCTCGTGGTGTTGCAGCAGTGAGGGCAGACCCCCGGCTGGTTTGGTGAAGTTGGCGACCAAGGCGGCCGCGGGGAGGAGTCGCCCTCCTTCGGCGACCTTGCACCCGGGCTGCAGGGCGAAGCACGCCGCGTGGCCGTACTTCCCCTCCCTGGCGGGAGAGGTGGGACCAAGTCACATGCAGAATGCGTGAAAACAAAACACGTGATCACTTTGGGAAGGAACCGGATTAGTGTTGAGGCCCCACCTGGGGTGCAGGTCCAGGTAGAAGCGTCCCATCTCCTCGCCGGTGTCGGCGTCATGGGCATCATAAACGCGGACGTCCTGGTGCCAAACGGACGCCGCCAGCACCCGGCTGAAGCGTAGCCCCAGCAGGTCCCGGTAGATCCCGAGGAGGCCTTCTGTGACGGCGTCCAGCGGGAAGTACTCAAGAAGTTTGTCCTTGTCTACGGCAAACTTGCGCCGCTCGACTTGGTCCATGTAGTAGGGCAGATCCCACGCGTTCAGACGCCCGTCGAAACACCGACCGCTCGTCAGGCACTCGCGCTTCTTCAACGCCATCATGTACTTCCGCTCCCGTGCGCCCACCGGCTCCAAAGTCTTCTGGAGGGCATCTAGGTTGGAGTAGGGTTCGGGTCTCACATCAGTGAGGTTCGAGATCGTTTTAAAATTCGAGTTTGGGTGCTCATTTCAACCCCAAATAGGGTTTCAAACAAGAGCGAGGGATTCAAATGAGGGTTTCAAGATCCTTGTTGGGGTTTCAAATAATGCTTCGGGTTTGAAATTAGGGTTCCAATCTCGAGTTAGGGTTTCAAAGTATGGTTTAAAAAATAGTGTCACATTAGGGTTTTAAGTCAGTGTTAGGGCTTCCCAAAAGGGTTTCAAACAAGGGTTAGGTTCTCCAATCAGGGTTAGTTTTTCAAGACGTTATTGTTTGAAATAAGGATTATCGCTTCAAATTAAGGTGTCAAGACTGTCAGGGCTTCAAATTAGGGCTCCAAGACTCTGTCAGCGTTTCAAAGTAAGGTTTCCATCCAGAGTCAGGGTTTCAAACAAGGGTTGGAGATTCATTTTAAGGGTTTCAGATCTCTGTTGGGGTTTAAAAGTGGGGTATCAAACAAGGGGTAGGGCTTCAAATTACGGTTTCAAGACTGTTCGTGTTTCGAACAAGGCGTAGGGTTTGAAACAAAGGTTAGGATTTGAAATTAGAGTTTAAAATGAGCTAAAGTGAGAAATTAGGCTTTTAATACAGAGGTAGGGTTTCAAGAGAGCATTAGAGCTTCAAATCACGGTTAAAGTCTGTTCAAGGTGTTTAAGTTAGTGTCAAATTAGCCACAGTTACTGTTTTGAAGTTTGGGTTTTAAGTCTAGGTTCAAATTTCAAAGCAGGGTTTCAAGTTAGGATTGGTGTTTCAGTTTGGGAGTCGAAGTCGGGAGTACAACTTTTAAGTATTTTAGCACACGAGTGTTTGGTTTAAGGTTCGTGAGCTAATGTCATCGTGAATTACTGAGGAAGGCGTCGACGTTGGTGACGTTCTTGGCTACGTTGACCTCCAGCACGTAGTTGGCGTGGCAGCCGTAGCCCAGCAGAGCCGCCAACTCGGCGCGTAGCGCCACCAAACGTTCCAGGACGATCGTGTTCGCCTGCCAGACAATTCACATATGGACAACTGGGATTAGAGATCCACAATCGCGTTTGAAGCTGGGTTCGGTTTCAGAGTAGGGTCGGCGGGTCTAGGGTTTCAAGTCGGGGTTAGGGTGTCAAGACAGGCGTAGAGTTTCAAACAAGGGTTTTCAAATGCCCGGGTCATTGTTTACAGCCAATTTCAGTTTGAAGACCAGATTACAGGCTTTCACTGAGTCGGGTCTCTTGTCAGGATTTGTTTTTTTTCTTTGGCTTTTTGCCGAACTTCTGTTACCTCTTTGCACCTGCTGTGAAACGCCGTCTCCATCTTCCGCCGCGTCTCGGGATCGCGGCAACGTTTCATGACGGGAAAATAGTGAGGATAGGCCAGAGTCACCTTGTACACACCGGACGCCTCGTCCACATCCAGACCCGACACAAAGCTCTCGGACATACCGTCTAGGCAGGGCCAAAAGACAAGTCAAGGCACCGTAAATGTGTGTGAGAAAGAAGTAATATGCGTTTGTATGAAGTGCGTAAGAGTAGTGTGTGTGCGTGTTTACCGACCCAGCTGCTGCCGCGAGACGAGCAGGAACGTGTTGTCCTCATTCAGGTTCTTGTTGAACTCGATGGAGAGCTCGGAGATCAGCTTGGATGTTTTTTTGATTTTCTTTGGATGACAAAAAGTCTCAAAGAGGTTAAGGTTTCCAAGCAGCGTTGGGGTTCCAGGTCGGGGTTTCAAATGAGTGATAGGGTTCTAAAAGGGGATGAAGAGTTTCCAATCTGGGATAGAATTTCACATTATGGTTTCAACCCTGAGGTAGGGTTTTGAAATTAGCTAACGCTACAAGCCTGGAATTAGGGTTTCAAGACACTTTGAGGCCTACCAGTCAGGCCGAAACCAATTTTGTAGAAAGAAGAACAAGCAGTCTGGAAGATGGCGTCACCTCTCTTGTCTCTCCACACAGATGTAGTCCGTTCCGCCTGCCCGACGCCAGCAGTCGCTCCAAGAAACGTTTTTCCTCCTGCAACACGTTTTCGTGCGGGAGCTTCTTCTGCTCACAAAAATGCAACGCGTGTCAAGGAAACGTCGTGCAACTCGACAGGATTGACCACCTTTGGCTTGACAACCTGCAAGGCGGCGATTCGGAGGAAGACGTCGTGCCTCATGCTCAGCTCCACGTTTGTCGGCCTGGGCGCTGGCCAATCGAACGGCCCGACACGGGCTCACGTACTGCGGGAAGTCCAAAGCGTGACGGCGCGCTGGGGACAAGCGACAGCAAGCCACAAGGAACACTTGGGGAAACCTGCAACGTTTAGACTCACACTCAAGTGTGTTTCGGCGTGTGTTTAGTCATGCGCGTGTTGTGTGGTGTGTCTTGTGTACGTGTGTGTTGTGTAGTATGTATGTGGGTATGTAATGAGTTTTTTTATGTAGTGTTTTATATTGTGCATGTAACTTTTTGAACCGGACCAAAATTGCTTTTTTTGTGGGGGGGGGGGGGATTCTGATATTTGGCAGAACCAAACTACAATAACTGCCCAATTAATTTAGAAAATATAAGGTAGCAGAACACAAACAGCATTTGTGGGCTGACCTGCGTAATCCATTTTGACGTTGGCGAGTGCCCTCAGCGTGTTCTCAACGGAGACAGCGTCCACGCAGAGGCGTCCAATCTCGTCGTAGACCTTAGTCACAGTGCCGATCAAGCGTTCGGTGTCTGCGGCGATATCCTCTGGCGACCGGTTCCAACTCAGCGGGATACTGTGAGTGTAGGCCCTTGCGGGACGCTGTGCCGTGCCGTTGAGGATCGTCATTCTCCACACGGGGTCTCTGCACAGAGTGACAGACGCTCCGCTCGCAAAGGGTTATGGTGCTCAATGGACGGACGGCATATTTCTGGAACGTCACTCTCAGAATTCTTTCCGTGCTAAGCTGCGACCGATTCCCCCCCCGCCGCGATGGGTCGGGTTGCAGTCGGACATTGAGGAACACGACACCTCGCCAGGACTGCAAAAACTTAAGAGGCGGTCATTAAAAGATGAGTGCTGATTAAGTGCAACGACGTGTTTACAACAAGCTTACACACTCGTCAAATGATTACTACTGATCGTTCCTTACACGCTACATCACACACCTCATAATAAGCACCATATACGCACCCGCACACACTTTGGCTTTAACCTTCAAGCTTGCTAGGTCATGCGAGTGTGTCATTCTAGGCTGCGCGAGTGCATGTGTGTTTTATAGTGCGTGTTTAGTAGCTCATGTTTGTCAAGTAGCGTGCATGTGTTGTGCAATGTATGCATGAGTTGGATAAGTTTGTCGGTGTGTAATGTCTGTTATCTACTGTAGCATAGTAAATGTTGTGCAATGTGTAGTGTATGACGTTCATTTTTTGTGTTGGGAGTTATGTAGTATTTGTGTTGTGTTGCATTATTTTGTGAGCATGAGCAAAACTCGTAGTTAGTGTGCCATGCAATGTGTAGCGTTGTGCAGTGTGTGTAAGCGTTGTGCATATTGTGCCAGGAGGAATACAAAATTTATAGTATCCTAAGTAGTTACTCTGTTATGTAGTGTGTTGTGTAGTGTGTGTTACTTTGTACGTGTGTTGTGTGTTTTGTGCAATACGGCAAGTAGTGTGTCTTCAGTATTTTGTGTGTGTGTGTGTGCACGATGAGCATTATTGAAAATTAAAAAATAAATAAATGAGAAAATAAAACAGACCACTTTTCAGGCTGTCGTCTCGGCAACAGTCGCAGCTTGTCAATCACGCACTCTATTTCGCCGTCACTTCCGGTATGAGCGCCCGCGCACGTGCATGCGCACGGGAGAGCCAGGCTCCCGAGCAGTCCCGGGCGCGAGTAACGGCGACTGCTGAGCGGCCACGGCTCGGGTAAGAGGATGACGCAAACAACATCTTTTGACGTGATTTCATCAACCATGCTGGCCTTTGGATTTGTTTTTCGCTGCTATGCATTCCTTGTTCGTCGTGTGACCGTCGCGTCGCGAAGAATCGTGCTCGGCCGAGGCAGAGACGCCCATTTTAGCCATTGCACTTGGCTAAAAACAATTGAGCATCAACCCTAAAATTACATACGATTCGGTGACGTCACAACCCGTGTGTCAATACTCGTCGAGAGGAAGGGTAGGGTGCTGGTGTGTATGCGTGCCGCACGTGACCACCTTTCCCGCGTGCACTGGTTTGCACCTGCTACCTTTGACGTCATCACACGTAACCAGGATCGTCTGGAAATATCAATACGTTTAATTGTGCTTATGGAGCTAAACTTCAGTCGTATGACACACTCAGTTTAAATTCTCTCACGGGATGAGTAAAGTAGCTGATGGAGTTAGCTTACTGTTACACATGTCGTTAGCCTAATATTACCGTTGCCTGAAGTACATGTGAACGTTTTCTGAACAACAAATTCAGCAAAGAAGAAAAGTTCAATTGCCTCAATTCATCCTTTGCAGATGAGGTCGTTACGCTATGAGGCTAAAGATGTTATTGAATTTTTTTTTCGTTACGTCACACACTGCTGGATTCAACCGAAGTCGAATTTGAAGTAGTAGTTAACTGCAAAACTCGCAAGTTACCATCAAAGTAAAATGTGAGGTGTGTGTGTGTGCAGTTTGTAGCGAAACATGGCGGTGGAGAAGCGCCTGGCGTTTTCTATCATCCAGTTCCTACGGGATCAGACACATGGAGGCACATTGAATTCAGACGAGCAGGAGAGCCTTGAAGGTACGGTGGATGCCTGGTAATGGTGGTCAGAACCGGCATGAACATCTGCTTTTGTCGCAGTTGCCATCCAGTGTCTTGAGACCACCTTTAAGATCAGCGCTAGCGACAGCCACCTGGTGGCGCCGCAACCTCTCATGGAGGTCTTCCTCAACTCTCTGCTCAAGGTGAGCATCCATTTTGTTTCACATTACAAGATTCTGTTGCCGGAATGTTGGCGATACCAATGAAAACCAATCATCACCACCACTCGATGACCAATCGTTTGTCATAATATTTCCCTCAGAACGACAACCTGAGCTTGCCGGCGACGACGCCCTCGCCCGAAGACGCCGAACGAGCTGAGCAGCTCAAGAACGAAGGTGAAAAGATACAATTTGATTGGTCGACTGATGTCACAACCCATGTGATTGGTCTGCATGCATCTGGAATTGACCATTCAAAAAGGCCAGTGCTATGTGACACAATCGTCTATTTTCAGGGAACAATCACATGAAGGAGGAAAACTACCGATGCGCGGTGGAGTGCTACACCAAGGCCATCGACTTGGACCTGAGGAACGCTGTCTACTATTGCAACAGGTTTTAGCCACAAGTTACGGTCACGCTCAGGCTAGGTAATGCTCATGCAAAATAATGCTAACGCTGTGGTCGTGCAGGGCTGCCGCTCACAGTAAATTGGGCGACTACACGGAGGCGACAGGCGACTGCGAGCGAGCCATCGGGATCGATCCCAGCTATAGCAAAGCGTACGGCAGGATGGGGTAAGTCAAGGAAAAAAATCACACGTCCCCCAAAAAAGAACACAAATTGTACACTTAAAAAAACATTAAATCACACGAATAAAATTTAAAAATGAACCGTGTTTGGGATTCTGTGTGCTCGCAGCCTGGCACTAACAGCCATGAACAAATACCCAGAGGCCATTTCTTACTTCAAGAAGGCACTGGTGCTGGACCCGGACAACGACACTTACAAGTCCAACCTGAAGGTGGCAGAGCAGAAGCAGAAGGAAGTTAGCAGTCCCGTGAGTGCAAGACAACATAATACAATAATTACAAAATCTAACAAAATGTCAATAAAATGCATAAATAAATATGTCATCTTTTTCTATGTACGTTCTCATTTATTTGTTGCCACACTCTTCCTCCTCCTCATGTCCCGTGTATGTAGATAGCCGCAGGTTTGGGATTCGACATGGCCAGTTTAATCAACAACCCTGCCTTCATCAGCATGGTAAGCGCAGGTCTTCCTTATACGGTCGTTGTGATTGTCACAAAGCAAAACAATAACAGACATGCTTTCTTCCTGTGTGGTAGGCAGCCAGTGTGATGCAGAACCAACAGGTGCAGCAGCTGTGAGTGTTCACGCCGCGCTAGCTCCGTCTTAGCTTTGAGACGAGCTTAGCTTTTCGCATCTCACTTCCTCGTCGTCATTGTCAGAATGTCGGGAATGATGGCCAACGCTGTGGGAGGACCGGCCGCCGGAGTGGGAGGTCTGACAGACATTTCCAGTCTGATTGAAGCGTAAGTACAACTTCTGGACCAGTAAACGCTACCTCTACAGTCACGTAGAGTTTACGTTTCACGTTCACATTATGTTTTCGCTGCTCGCTGTTGTGTGAAAGGGACCGATGCAGTCATGGTATCTAATTGCTTCTGGTACTTTGGGAGCTAAATCAGGGTACTGATTGGCGCAGACTTATACATCAACTGAAATTAATTCCTTTAAATTCTGTGGAAACAAACGGGGACCGCACTAGAAATCAAACTCAGTGGTAATTAAAATAAAAAGATAGTTCCAGAAATAGTACCAGGTAGTTCCAAGAGATACTAACTGTGGATGAATGGCAGGAACGTGACGACGCTCTCTCCCCAATAAGTGTTGCTTGTCCTTTTCCACCAGGGGGCAGCAGTTTGCCCAGCAGATCCAGCAGCAGAACCCTGAGCTCATCGAACAGTTACGCAATCACATCCGGAGTCGATCGTTCAGCGGCAGCGCCGAGGAGCACTCGTGATGCCTCAGGTTGGTGTGTGTGTTCGATTACCACACGTTCAGCTTTTTAAAGATCACCCCCCCCCCCCTCCCCCCCCCCCCCCTTCCAAAATTACAGCCACACCAAACTGAGCCAACTCTCCGACGCTGGACCCCCTGAGATAATTGACAGCTGTATGGAAGACACGACATGAGTGCAGTGGCACTTTGATTTTTGACTTGTGGATTTTTTTTCCCTTGCTTTGTATTTTGCAAACCAAAATTTGAGACACAAGTAAAACGAACGGGACAAATTATTCTCGTAAATCAAGGTGCCACTGCATCACGTGAGGTCTACTGTTGCTTTTTAGTCATGTGACTGACACGCCTGCATTGTGACATTGTCATTGCACTTTAGCGCCACGAAATAAGGAAAAAAAAAAGAATCAAGAATAATGAACACTTAAAAAATGTATTTGTGTATGTTGTATAAATGTAAGGTTGCTCCTCCTGCATGCTTTCAAACTGGTATTTGGCATCAGAAGCTTTATGGAAACTAGCCAGCAAGACCAACAGTGGGCTAACTCCATTTTGAGTCATTTTGCAGGAAAGTGATGTGAAGTTTTATGGTTAGTGCATAATGATTGCCAACTAAAGGTTTTGTGCATTGCTGGTCCAAGTCCAAACAATTGTCAAGTCTTTCACTTTTTCATGAAAAATCAGAAATGACATTCACTGAAGCTAACTTGGAGATGGACCGACATCCAAGCTTCAATTTTTTTTTTTTTATCCTGAGCATAATATTGGGCTCCCATTTGTCAAAATTGTGATGAAACTTTGATTTAGACCTCAAGAGTCATCAAGAATTTACACCCTTTCTCGAATTTCTGCACTTACCTCAAAATTGGACAAAACATGGGAGTTAGCTCACTCTAGTTTCCAGCTGCTCAAATCAGCTCTGCTGGGCCAGGAAGATGCTTCCTTCCAATAAAAATAAAATGTTATGAAAACCAACTCTTTTGTCATCTTTTACAATGTTGTTTAAAAGACAGAAGTCTTATGAATTGCATTTAAACATCATCTCCGCAATTCGGCAAGTTTATTAACACATTCACATTTTCAAAGAATCTCATTATTCACAACCATTTCAATGAGCATTAAAACACAGTGTGCAGTGTGAAGCGCACCATCAGTCCATTGTAAATAAAGCTGGTTTAAAAAACACCCCAAAAAGTTAAAAAGTCAGTCGCTAGGACGGACAAACCACGCACACTTGAGCCACGTCGTCGTATTCGTACGTACGCTTCAGGAACGAGTCTGTAAGCCTCAGACCGGAAATAGTCTGAAACAAATAAAACAAAACCAAAATGTTTTTCCATATTCTTGATTTCCAGCTTCGGGTCCATTTACGAGTACACTTTTTAACCTCACTAGCAAGACAATTCAGCACACTCAGTAGTAGAACAACGATACTAACTAGTGCCACTTTTGGCTTCCTCGTAATTAAACCTGACAAGTGAAATACTGCACAGCACTGGTAACACTACAAAGCACAACTTGTAGGCATGTCTCAGTCATTAGGAGACTCCTTACCAAGGAACCGGAATAAATGCTCAAATGGTTTTGCATACGAGTTGCACGGTACCTGGAGACCCTGGACAGACGCCAGTAGTGTGAGGGGGAGTGAAAGTGACGCCCCTGGGCTCAGCTTGCCCAGAGGTCGACCAGACACGCCGCACCAGTGGACGGATGCAGTGTTGATCATGTCCACGAGAAGGTCCATGGTCCTTTCGCTACACACGTGCACACACAAACAATTCCGTGTGAGTGTTGAGGAGGTGCGAGGTCAGATGAAGTTGCCCGATTGTTGTTTCCTGACCTGCAGTTGGTGATTTTACATCTGATGTCAAAAGGTTCTTCCAGGCTGACCGTGTCGGGAATGACCTCCATGGAGAGGCGGATGTCTCCATAGCCTGGAGCCTGGCACACGCGTTCAGTATACAATTAGACAGAAGAAAGCCTACACTGAGAGTACACGGGCATGAGAAACATTCAATAGGTTGAGAATAGGGACATTGGTGGTGAAGAAAATACGAATTATGATGAATACATGCAAGATGAGGAAGTTCAATTAAATCTGATGAAAATGTGCTATGTCAGAACTGTACCAAACATTACATATCAGTGTGCGTCCACGTGGAACATCTAAATAAAAAACAAATCAATGACAATCTATGTCGAACTGAGGGGAATTGCTTCATTTAGTCAGGCCAGAGCCTTGTCTAATAAAACATGCTTTGCTGCTTTCTTGTGGCATCTATTAGGCAATTATAAAATTATTAATATATGGCATATTAGAGGTGTACAGGCATGATGTAAATGTGCTCCATTAGAGGTATTTACATTAAATACGGTATAGATATGGAACAGGGTTGCAGAGTTTTATTAGGATAAGCCCCTTGAAATGTTTCATCTGGTTTTAGGGGGTTGGGTTGGGGCGGGTCGATTGGGGAGTACCATCCTCTGCAGCTGGCTGGTCTGCAGGCGTCCCCGCTCGCCCAAGTTAGTCTTCCACACGATGTCCAGTTTTCCGATGACGGTGACGCCCTTGATGACGCCGGCCTTCTCGGCGTACTCGGGCTTAGGCGTCAGGCAGTAGAGGTACTGGCGCGTGTCCATGGGCTGCAGGTAGGACATCTTGCCAAACGTTGACACCCTGAGGAGAAAGGGACCAAAAGAACAAAAATTCAGACAAGGTGATTACTACACTTGAAAAAAAATCTGAAAATACAATTTGATGCAGTTGTCCAAGTAAAAATTGACAATGGAAGAAAGGAAAGATAGAAAATGACAAATAGGAACTGAATCAGCACCAGTCTTTCTCCCTCTTTAAAACACAAGGATTTGTATTTCTACTTCAGTGAGGCGTGTCAGTACTTGAGTCGTACCCGTGGTCTTGGTGCGTGACGGTGTTGAGCTCGGTCACGTTGTACATCATGGACGGCTCCAGCGACACCTTCTCCATGAACATGGGCGACGTGGTGATGTTCTGGATCTGGGCTTCTAGGAACACTTCGTCCGTCTGGGGCGTAGAGGGCGGCATGCAGACGGTTATGGGGAGGCAGAGTCTCCACCACGGATTCGGGGCGGGTGGAAGTATATTTGGATGTTTTGTATTTTTGTGACCTTCCAATGTTCAGAAAATAATAAACCGGGTCAGCTATAAAATCATGTGATCGACCCCGATTTCCGATCACGTGATCGGAATGGGACATCCCTGTACAATAAAATACTCCTTAATTCAGTTAATAAGTTTGATTGTATTGTAATGGGGAACGTTGAACAAAAAGAGATTTACATTAGGCCCGATGTAGAAAAAAAATGAATCATGACAATAATCCATTTGCTGACGATGGAAATTAATCATCTGGTGCTGTAAATATACTGCCTGCTAATTTGAGAAGTTTTCATTGTTTTTATTTATTATGTGTGATGATTGGGTGTTTGTGGTCAAAAGCAGCAGTTGAACGCAACATTTCTCAGCCAGTTAAGATGAGCTCATTAGCATTAGCTCATGCCACCAGCTGCCACCGACTGAGGCCGCCATGACGTTCCATGCAAAAGCCGGTGTGGCCCACTCCTTCCTCACACACTCCAGATTCTCTTCATCATCAAATTTACAATTATTCAGATCTTAGAATAATGATTTAAATTCAACACATTGAATTACACTCAAGTGTACAAACACTCACACTGCTCAACACATTTACACACACACACACATGCAGATATGCACACACACTCTCTGACAAACAAAATGTATACACACACACACACACACACGCACGCACGCACGCACGCACGCACGCACGCACGCACGCACGCACGCACGCACGCACGCACGCACGCACGCATACATAAACAAACTCAGATACACACGCAGACTCACGTTTGCTCGCAATCACTAACGCACAGACATACTGTGCACACACACACACACACACGCACGCATACACACAAAAGCACCCCGTGCAAAAGGAAGTGTGGCGAAGGTGTGTGCAAACAACAATAATGGGAAGCTGCCCAATTGTGCTCTTCCAGCTAGCAGTTATTTCAATTTAATAATAATAATAATAATAATAATAATAATAATAATAATTCAGTAGAATATTACTGCCATTGTTGTTTGCTTCCACCGGCAAGCGGCGTGGAAAAGACAGGCGATGAGAACAGAAAAAGGAAAGCAATTTACCACGGAACTGAGGTCGCTCTAATGGAGAAAATGAACATAAAAGGACACAATGAACACATGCCAAACGTGATGTAGGCTAACAAGCGAATGGACTAACTAGATGGGGAACGTACCTCGGCGTTGTAGAACTTTGTCTTGACATCCAGGGGCTTGAGGACCTGATTGAAGAGAGAATGTAGACTGAACGTCTCCATCGCTCGGCAGCAGAACAAAAAAACAAAAGAAAAAAAGAAAGAAAGAAAGCATGACGGTGCAACGAAGGAGTGTTCCGTTGGGTGCTTATGGCGGGTGCTTATGACATGCCTCAAGGACGCGTTAAGTGAACTGCTTCACCTGGAATTTGAAGAACTTGCGGAAGTAGAGCTTCTCTCCATACTGTGTGGTGTAGCTCACGGCGCACACCAGGCTGCAAACAAACACAAAGGCCACCATTTAGCAGACGCAAGTGCAACAAAAAAATAGTGTACAAATCACACCGCCATGCTTGTAAACATTTTTTAACCCTAAAAAAATTCCCCAAAAAAACGGACAAACCTCAGATCAGTGTTTTCCACAATCAGGGATGCCCCCACCCAAAAAAATATTTCTTTTTGAATTGTATATTAAGGCCAGATGGCTCACATGTGCGTTCCGATCTCTTTGACTTCATGGTGGATGACATCATCGATGCAGCACTCGGGTTTGAGTTCAGCCACAGTTGAGTTGGATGCTGACAAGTTGAGCCTTTGAGAGCTGGTCTGCAAGTCGGCCTACGGAGGAGGACATGGCACTGATGGAGGTTGAGGAGGATAATTGCTTCATCTTACCCATTCTTGCTGTTGATTTACCTTAACCAGAATATCCTTGACCACCTGACTGCTGTCATTGTGCACACTGATGTAGCTGGAAAAGGTCTCACCCAGGAAGATGTTGCTACAAGGAGATGACAGGAATTGATAAATATTTTCATTTTTAAATTTTAATTGAATGAAATGTTTACATTGAAATCCAAAGGAAATAAAATAATAATACAATAAATTAAATTAAATACAAAATAAACAAGAATACAATAAAAAATATTAAACGTCAACCTAACTTCAGTTGAAATTATAAAAAAGAAATACAACTTCAAAATAAACCTAAATTGAATTAAAATCATTTGAAAAAGTATTTTAAAGACTAGTTCAAAATAATAAATAATACGTAATAAAGTTAAAATGAATATCTAATCAAAATTTAAATGTAGTAGGCAAACGTTTGGATGACTCACCCAAAGTTCTGTGGCAGCGTGAGCATCTCACCCAGCATGAGTGTCTCGGCGCCCTTGATGGTGGACGGATCGTTTTGCATGAGGCGCCCAAAGAGGTCACCTGTCGGTGCAAACCACGAAGGCAAAATGAGGCACACATGATTTGGTGTAAAAGAATGATTAATGTGGGCTTTTTTCCCCTCACTGAATAAATGCACTTGAATAAATGGTTGGTTTCCTCATTTTTGTAATTTCGCTCCCATATTATTTAGGGGGCAAAAAAAATTACTGGAAGCGAAAGAACACATTGTGAGTGCCAATAGGTCCGGAAGGCACTGCACATTCAAATGCATTTGCATGCCTTGTCAAAGAAGGTGTAATGCAGACCTGGTAGGTCTCGCTCTTCACATGTCACTGGCAGGTTGGTAAACAGAGTTGGTTTGGTCAGTCGCATTACTGGGGAAAAAACAAAAACAAAGACATTTTTATGCATTATTATTTCCATATGTAGCCTTTATTGACCGCGACAGGGCGATTGTTTGTCTACAACTGTCCTGCCATTGGCTGGTGACCAGTCCATAAGTACAATTATGAAGATAAGCGCAATATAAGATGAATGGGGAACGTCTCCATTGCGAGAGAAATAAAGGTTTTCTTTTCTTGTCTTAATGATAGTTTATTTTTCTGTCGCGCCTGTCAAGAGAGCCTAAAGGACTGTGTTAATAACTATTGCAACGGACGAAGATAAAAACAATGACTTTCTGCCATATTGAAGTGTCAGCACACCATAGCACACACACATAAAATATCACCCTGTCATATAAGCATAAATGTGTACGTAGATAATATATTAAACTAAAATTAGTAGTACCCAGCACCAGAGGACAAACACCGGTCTGCTTCTACGACGTTTAAAACTAAAATTCCCAATTGAAATGTACATATTTGAAGTACTACATGAGTTTCAAAGTACCTTTTAATGCGAGCAGGTGTTCCTGTTTGGCCTGACTTACATCCATTTTGACACAAAACGGCTTTTATCCAGGGACGCTAGCCCCGGATGAAGCTAACAGCTGTGACGGCAGGCTGGTCCACGTGACCGGATATACGTAGCTTCTTCTTCAATAATTGTGGTTCAGCGCGCACGATGCTGCCCTCCTCAAGAGCCGAACGGGTACTACAACTACTGCCACTACTTCTACTACTACTACTACTACCACTAATAATAATAATAATAATAATAATAATAATAATAATAATAATAATAAGAATAAAATGTGGAAAAAAGAAAAAAAACCTCGAAAAAATGCTAAAAAAGAAATGTAATATATAAATACACACACACACACACACACACACACACGCACACACACACACACACACACACACACGGTAAATAAATAGATAAATGCAATATAGGACTTATAGGACACACATTTGTTTATTAACACAAGAATCATAAAGTACAATCGTACATGCATGATTAAATGTCGTATTTTAAATTTTAATGTTTTCTGACACATTGTTTTGTTGTGGTCCTTAAGTGGCTTCCTCTCTCAGCAAAATCTGAAAACAAAAAAAAACAAATCAGAATATGATTAATTTTCTTTGACATTTTCTTTGACATTTAACGAGGAGAAAATCCTTCTCACCGGTGCGGCTTCGTCGTTGGTGTTGGCGTTGGGACGTCGCCAGTCGGCTTTGGACAGAATCCCGAACACGAGAGAGCTGAATGCCACAATCAGGATACCCAGCATATTGGCGAACAGCGCCTCCGCAGGCAGTGAGCTGTAAGCGTTTGCTGACACGCCGTCGCTAACAAACACCAAAAAGCAAAAAAAAAAACAACTGAGTGCCTTCATATGTGTCCCGAAGAAGAAATCGTTGAAAGCCTCACAGTGCAAAGAAAAGCTGCTCGTTGATTCCACTGATGCAGGCGGCCAGACTGAGCAGCAGTACCGCTTGTCCCGTCCACACGTGAATCCCCTTCAGGTAGTGACTTAACCGCTGCGCAGAACATGGCAGCAAAAAGCCAACCAGTCCCAGGAACCACTGTGGATGAAAGAAGGCATGTCCACAGAGATGACATGAAAGTGGACTCAAGTCATTTTGTCAAGTCAGCGTATTCTTACCTGCCACGCAAACGTTACCACGGCGCTCATTCCCACCCAGCTGTGCAAGGAGTACATTGAGGGGATGTTCAGGGTGCTGTGCACGTTAAAGACGGCGTACAGGCCGACGGTGGCAAGCACCAAAGCGGCCAGCATCAGTCCTGCGTGGACCAGCTTCCATGCGATCTTCTTCTGAGACCACCCCCAAGGCACACGGAACAGGACGGCAGCTGCCGAGAATACAAGGGTAGAATACATTATAGTCTGGGAATTTATCACTTGTGCTATATTACGCCGAAGTCAAAAGTGTTGTGAGCTAATTCGTTGGTCTGTATGAACTACAAATCCCCTTAAATGGACAGTCGTGACTCACCGAAGCCATAAAGGACCAGCAGTCCGCTGATCATGAGGACGGGATGCCAGCTGAACTGGGCCTCACTTCCATCCCACGCAAACCCTCCGCGCCAGCGCCAGTTCCAGAAGACAACCATGACCACGCACAGGAGGCCCACGTTGATGCACACACACCAGGACATGTAGAAAGACGCCGACGCTCCCATTGTAAAGCGTCCCACTCCACCACCTCCTCGGTTGGACTGCACAACAGTAGCACGGCCAATGGATTGTCTCTGATCCATAAAATGTCAGAAGCCGTGAAAGGAGGTCAGGAGGGAGACTGCCATCACATCATCTCTGACTTCCTGATTGATTTTTTTTCACTGTTTACACTCATAAACAACACGCTGAGTCATATAGCCAGCAAAGTAGCGACCATGCTAACGTTTTCTTGCATGTTGATGCCCTCTAAGCTCAAGAAGAAAATGAGCTACCACAAATGATATGTACTTGTTCATAATGAGGAAATGAACAACAATGCTATTGGTGTTAATGCTCCCCTCAAGACCCAGGTTAGCTCATAGAGAGCAAATTAGGTCTCACATAAATGATTTTTGGGGTGTCTGTTCAGACACGATAGCTCAGTGCAAGCAAACTTGGTGCCATGATAATTTCCAGTATCCTCATTGACCAGACAGTATTTGCAGTATTGTACCTTGGTTGATACAGTATCTAATATTTCTAACTCGCTCAATATTGACAAAGTTCCAAAGGCAGCTGTGTGATCCATTACACGTGTCTGCTTTGCATTCCTATTCTAAGAAATGTATACTGTAGTTAGTTTCATAATGCTTTCCTCCCCGACGTCAAGCAGATTCCTGTAGCTAATGAGCTAAGCAGGCTCCGCGTTTCCCCGAAACAAAGAATCACGAGGCCGCTTGTCATCTGACTTGACACTGAACTGGAGAGAAGTTCCCACAGTGCTGGTGACACAAACATTTTTTTTTCCAGGCTTTAGAGCAGTCTGGACAATGACATCCTCTGACCACAAACAGAGTCGGAGACATGCTCATCATCTTTTATGAAATTCTTCCAAGAATTAATTTTTTTCAGGCATACGTCTTGGAAATGGAGAAAATCCACTAAGAACATCACCTTCCAACCAAAAATGGCCATCAACCTGTGTGTTTCACAGTCTTGCTTCTTCTCAATTATCGTGCATCCTATCACAATGGAGATTTGTCAAATGGACACGCTGAAGCCCAAAAAGCCACACACACACACACACAAACATGAAATATAATAGTCTTTTATTGTCTGAACAGAATTGAAAACAATTCAAACAATCCAAAAGGTGACTCTCTGTACAAAATATTTATTCCAAATGTACATAAAAACATACCTCTCATAACTTACATCTCAACTTTATTCCTTCCATTAACGGGACGTCATTTAATCTCTTTTGCTTCTTCTCTCTTACAATCTATAAAGTGATACAAATACGACAAAACAGTCCACATAATAGAAAGAATGTCACGTGACCAAGCCTTGAAATTGATGCAGGATGAATTGTCTCTTGTCAACCACGGGATGGCAGCGCCAGCACTGAGCATCACAATACAGTAGAACACACACAGAGCACACAAACTCTTGCATACACACGCACACACAGACTAAAAGCCCCCCCCCCCCCCCCCGCCCCTCCCCCCCAAACCCTTACCTCTCACACACACACGCAGACGCACACGCACAGTGAGGCTCACTGCAAACAAAAAAGGAGTGGGGCAAAAATAGTATAAAATCGAGCTGTTTGGAAAAAAAAGACAACAAAAAAAATGAAGTCGGGGAGAAAAAAAAAAGGTTTCTTCCTTCAATAAAGCAAAGATGGACAAAGGGGTTCTGTACCTGCCGCCACCATCATTTTTGCTGAAACCGTGAATTTCTTTTTTTCTTCATTGGCAAAACCATGAATTCTGCCTAGTAACAAGTACATGTAGCTTTCATGCGTTAACCTATGGATACGCACGTCTCAATTACCCATACTGTATTTATAACTTCAATGAAAAATACATTTTCTGTCTGCTCACCTCCAAAGTGAAATGTAACAATAGTGTTTTTTAAGAAAGTGTGGCAATGCTATGAGGCTATAAATAAGTAGCGGTAAAAATAAATATGACAATAAATACAAAGGTAGCGAGGGACGAAAGTTCACGGCCAAAGTTGTGCATTTGTGAACATTTTTGTCAAGTGTCACCTCAGAATTTGTGTTACATGACTTCAATTCAGCAAAATATTGTTTGAACGGACTGTCCACCCCTGCAATGAAAGGAAAAACAAAATTCGCCCAACCAAGTACTGTAGTGTGACTACATGATGTCAGTAGAGGACAGTTTTCTAACTGGGAATTTCTCCATTGTGAGACAAATAAAGGTTTTCTTATCTTAACTCAGGAAAAAGTTGTACTTTACAAGAGTTATCTTACAAGAATAAAGTTGCATAATTGCAAAAGAATAATAAACAGAGGGAAGAAATGTCTTCACGGAAAAGCTCGACTTGATGATTTAAAGAAGAGAACAAAAATCATGTTCCGCAACAGCTAGGGTAACGACATTGTAGCCAGCATCATTGTTGACAAAAAAAAAAAAAAAAAAACTTGGTCAACGCAACAACATTGTTTACATGACTTCAATTCAGCAAAATATTGTTTGAACGGACTGTCCACCCCTGCAATGAAAGGAAAAACAAAATTCGCCCAACCAAGTACTGTAGTGTGACTACATGATGTCAGTAGAGGACAGTTTTCTAACTGGGAATTTCTCCATTGTGAGACAAATAAAGGTTTTCTTATCTTAACTCAGGAAAAAGTTGTACTTTACAAGAGTTATCTTACAAGAATAAAGTTGCATAATTGCAAAAGAATAATAAACAGTTATTTTCTAATCTTGCTGGAAGAAAAAGTAATCTTAAGTGAATAGTCTTATTTTTTTCTATGAAAAAGGTGTAACCTTATGAGACTAAAATTGGAGTGTTTTTTTCCCCTCAATTTTGTGATAATGACACATTAAAAAAAAAAAAAAAAAAAAAACATTGGTCAACGCAACAACATTGTGCCAATAGGAGGCTGTGCATCAAAGACGATGAAAACAAACAACAACAAAAACACCATGACAAACCAACAGCTAGCGTGACGACATTGTGCCAGTGGCGGAGAGGGCACTTGAGCGACGTCACAAGCGCCAGACCAGTGTATGTGCTCGCCAGCAGGTGACGCTGAGTATGTGCAGAGTCCTTTCTTTCTCCGAGTTATTTCTTCTTCAAAAAAAAATGGTCGCCTAGGAATCTTCGAAAGAAAAACTACTGGCTCTCGATACATGGAGGTAAGTCCCACCCGAGGACGGCGGCGTCCCTCAGGGAGCGTGGTCGTGCTTGTAGTAGCCTCGCCTCAGCGCCTCTGAGGCGATGCTCTCAGCCGAGCGTCGCTGGTCCAGGTCCAGCAGGGCCTGCAGCAGGTGGTTGATGTCAGCCTTCAGGCCCTGCCGCTGCATCCAGTTCTTCAACAGCTCGTAGACTTTGTCACCGGCCGCGCCGTTCTCCGCCAGGCGGATGTGGTTGTCGCTCACGCCGATCATGCGGAAGAACTTGTTGTGGATCCGAACGTCCAGGTACTTGTCGAACAGGTCGAAGCTCTTCTTCAGTGATTTCTCAGACTCTGCAATGGACCGAGTCACGTTAAAGTAATTGGCATCAAATGTACTTCAAAAAAGATATACATTTTACACCACTGCCCCGCTCCCAAAATAAATCATACTCTTAATCGCTACTTTAAATGATCGGACAATAATTTTGAGAGAATGAATCCTATTTTTGAATCTTTGAGAACCACTGCCTTACACAACATATGAACTGGTGTGAACTGCTGCACCGACCTTCAGCATCGGGCAAAAATTTGGAGAGAATAAAGACATATTTTATGAATCTCTGGTTTGCCACTTTGACAACCGCTGCCTTACACAACTTGTGAACTGACGCGAACTGTTGCACGGCGTGAAAAGAAGTCAGAAATGAGCCACCCGCACTGTCTCCATCGCTATTTGCCACCTGAGGGCTCGGCCTTGACACTTTCCGTGAAATGCCATTTAGAGTAGCGTCAGTGCGGCTTTCCTACCTTGCAGTGGCAGCAGGCGGTGCTGTAGAGGATCCTCCTGAGGATAGACAAGACGGCATTAAGTCGACTGCCGGAAAAAGTAACCTCAAAAAGACCTTTTTCCGAGCGACGCGCACAATGGCGGCGGGGCTTATCCTGCAGGAGGCGGGGCTATCTCCGGATGAGGCGGCGGTGGGCATCGCCGACAGGCTGGTCTGTGAAGAGCTGGTGGTGTTGGGCAAGCTGTCGCCCAGCCCGCGGTCCTCGTCCTCCGGGGACGGCGAGGCCTTGTTGTTGGTCATGCCTGCCTGAGTCTCCTGCAGAAGCGGACGGGACTCCGGGCGGGAGTGGTCGCCCTCCAGGCCGGCATTGCGACTGTTCTGGCACTCCTCAGCTGTGGGGGCGCTCTCATCCTGTCGGGGATTTTTGATTCAGTTAACGTTTTATTTGTTGTCAATTATTTGACGCTTTTGTGCCTCTATAAAAAGTCTACACATTTATATTTAAAAGCCACCATTAATGTGACTAATCACCGATGCATTACCTTTTTTTTTTTTTTTAAACAAGAAACAAGTTCAATTTTTTTGACAAAGTCACTTGGGAAAAACCCTGTAACTAGTTCAGGTTGAAGACTTACGATAGGAATCTTGATGATTTCGCTGGTGTCACAGTGACTCTTGGCGCCTGTCAAAAGCGGGCAAAGAGTTAGCAAAGCGACGACGTCTCCACGGAAACGCGGCCGAGCTGCGACGCACACTCACACGTTCCCTCGAAGGAGCAGCGCTTGGTGACGAAGCACCATGCGGCCAATCCGGCTAACACCACGACGACGATGGAGAGGCAGCTCAGCACGGGAACCACTGCAACACAAGGGAGGCTGGTTAGCGATGAAGGTAACGGGTCGCTTGGAGGGGGCACACGGAAAAGCATTACTACTGATGTCTGCTGGCGAGGTGGGGGTGGGTGGGGTTCGGTCCAGCGGCGTTTGGGTGGGAAATGGGTCTCGCTTTCGGCAGACCGTGTTGGAAAAGTGCGTGCACTTCTTCACTTCCTCCTCGCCCGCTTTGCACCTAAACAGTCAATCAACAAATCACCATGGATGCACCACATGAGTAGGTGAAGATTGGTTAAATAATTTGATTTTATATATATATATATTTATTTTTTTTGGGTGACTCACTTGGCGCAGCGTTTGCAGACCTCACAGGCCTGATCTGGCACGCAGAAGGTTCCCGCTCGGCACTGACACTTGGTGTCCGACGTGGTGGTGCAAGACGCTGTCTCCATCTCGTCTGTGAGCCACACACAAGGCAGACACATACTTGTCAGTCATAATTGGAGCTTTCAAGTACAAAAATTATTTTTTGTCGAATGTTAGTATGGCATTTTTTGGGTATGTTCGTGTGATGTGTGTTTTCTTGTGCATGATTATGAAATGATTGAATCATTGATTTCATTCAGTGTAATAAAAAGTTGAAGAAAAATAAGAGCGGTTCAAGTAACATTTAGGGGCCCAACTGTAGTTTCTCTTTCTGAACACTAGGCGGCATCCATGTAACCTTGAAGGAGAATTGGGATGCTTTGCCCTACGTGTTTTTCAATATGTTGATATGTGCATCTTGAGTCTTGTGTAATATTTCAGTCTTGTTTTAAGCACATTTTTTTCTTCTTTAAAATGACTTTTCATCCCCAAATATTTGCATATTTTACATTTAGTCTAGGGCTGGGATTCCTCAAGTAAATCGATGGAATAATCAACAGGACAATTGCTTCCAAAAAGATTGGCTTGTGGCAGCTCCACTTTACTCTTTTTGATGCAATATTAATCACAATAGTGCGTTTAGACGACATTTTCTTTTTATTTGCCGCATCGATATTTTCCCAAGTAGGTGAAAAGAGGACGCCAGGTAGTTTGGGTGTGGAAACATTCAGTCACAGGCAACCAGGAGCAATTATCCCAAAGTGCAAGCTGGTGTAACACGAGCTCCCTTTCAAGCGGGACACAAAGACACCACGCCCGCACTGGGCCAGGTAAGGCCACCACCCCCCCCCCGCGTTTAGACGACATTTTCTTTTTATTTGCCGCATCGATATTTTCCCAAGTAGGTGAAAAGAGGACGCCAGGTAGTTTGGGTGTGGAAACATTCAGTCACAGGCAACCAGGAGCAATTATCCCAAAGTGCAAGCTGGTGTAACACGAGCTCCCTTTCAAGCGGGACACAAAGACACCACGCCCGCACTGGGCCAAAAAAAAAGGCGGGGCTATGTACGTATGAGGCGGCGGTGGGCATCGCCGACAGGCTGGTCTGTGAAGAGCTGGTGGTGTTGGGCAAGCTGTCGCCCAGCCCGCGGTCCTCGTCCTCCGGGGACGGCGAGGCCTTGTTGTTGGTCATGCCTGCCTGAGTCTCCTGCAGAAGCGGACGGGACTCCGGGCGGGAGTGGTCGCCCTCCAGGCCGGCATTGCGACTGTTCTGGCACTCCTCAGCTGTGGGGGCGCTCTCATCCTGTCGGGGATTTTTGATTCAGTTAACGTTTTATTTGTTGTCAATTATTTGACGCTTTTGTGCCTCTATAAAAAGTCTACACATTTATATTTAAAAGCCACCATTAATGTGACTAATCACCGATGCATTACCTTTTTTTTTTTTTTTTTAAACAAGAAACAAGTTCAATTTTTTTGACAAAGTCACTTGGGAAAAACCCTGTAACTAGTTCAGGTTGAAGACTTACGATAGGAATCTTGATGATTTCGCTGGTGTCACAGTGACTCTTGGCGCCTGTCAAAAGCGGGCAAAGAGTTAGCAAAGCGACGACGTCTCCACGGAAACGCGGCCGAGCTGCGACGCACACTCACACGTTCCCTCGAAGGAGCAGCGCTTGGTGACGAAGCACCATGCGGCCAATCCGGCTAACACCACGACGACGATGGAGAGGCAGCTCAGCACGGGAACCACTGCAACACAAGGGAGGCTGGTTAGCGATGAAGGTAACGGGTCGCTTGGAGGGGGCACACGGAAAAGCATTACTACTGATGTCTGCTGGCGAGGTGGGGGTGGGTGGGGTTCGGTCCAGCGGCGTTTGGGTGGGAAATGGGTCTCGCTTTCGGCAGACCGTGTTGGAAAAGTGCGTGCACTTCTTCACTTCCTCCTCGCCCGCTTTGCACCTAAACAGTCAATCAACAAATCACCATGGATGCACCACATGAGTAGGTGAAGATTGGTTAAATAATTTGATTTTATATATATATATATTTATTTTTTTTGGGTGACTCACTTGGCGCAGCGTTTGCAGACCTCACAGGCCTGATCTGGCACGCAGAAGGTTCCCGCTCGGCACTGACACTTGGTGTCCGACGTGGTGGTGCAAGACGCTGTCTCCATCTCGTCTGTGAGCCACACACAAGGCAGACACATACTTGTCAGTCATAATTGGAGCTTTCAAGTACAAAAATTATTTTTTGTCGAATGTTAGTATGGCATTTTTTGGGTATGTTCGTGTGATGTGTGTTTTCTTGTGCATGATTATGAAATGATTGAATCATTGATTTCATTCAGTGTAATAAAAAGTTGAAGAAAAATAAGAGCGGTTCAAGTAACATTTAGGGGCCCAACTGTAGTTTCTCTTTCTGAACACTAGGCGGCATCCATGTAACCTTGAAGGAGAATTGGGATGCTTTGCCCTACGTGTTTTTCAATATGTTGATATGTGCATCTTGAGTCTTGTGTAATATTTCAGTCTTGTTTTAAGCACATTTTTTTCTTCTTTAAAATGACTTTTCATCCCCAAATATTTGCATATTTTACATTTAGTCTAGGGCTGGGATTCCTCAAGTAAATCGATGGAATAATCAACAGGACAATTGCTTCCAAAAAGATTGGTTTGTGGCAGCTCCACTTTACTCTTTTTGATGCAATATTAATCACAATAGTGCGTTTAGACGACATTTTCTTTTTATTTGCCGCATCGATATTTTCCCAAGTCGGTGAAGAGAGGACGCCAGGTAGTTTGGGTGTGGAAACATTCAGTCACAGGCAACCAGGAGCAATTATCACAAAAGACATCACCTTTCTCGCCGAGTAACTTCATCACTCGGCATTGTCGCTGCTGCGTCTCACAGCGCACACGCACACACAAAAAAAAAAAAGAAAGAAAACAAAGTGGATCCACTTTCCCCAAACAATCTGGCAATGTAAAACAGAAAGACTCCACTGAGAAGACTCCCTGTTCAAGATTAGGATTAAGATTTCAAATTGTCACCTTTCTCGCCGAGTAACTTCATCACTCGGCATTGTCGCTGCTGCGTCTCACAGCGCACACGCACACACAAAAAAAAAAAAGAAAGAAAACAAAGTGGATCCACTTTCCCCAAACAATCTGGCAATGTAAAACAGAAAGACTCCACTGAGAAGACTCCCTGTTCAAGATTAGGATTAAGATTTCAAATTGGAATTTGCATTACTCGCATATTTAGTGTCTCTGATCTCCCATTGACATAAATTAAAAGAGTAAGAAGTTGCAACCGATGCATTTTCATCCAAGATTTTTGGCTGTTGCTCAGGGGGGGGGGATAAGAGCACTTAGTATTAAAAAAAAAAAAGAATCTGAGATCATTAAAGTCCTACTTTTTATTTTACTTTGCAATATATATCCACGGTATTTTGTCCGTCACAATCTTCTCTGGAGGCATCTTTCATTTGTAATACATATCCTTGTCATCTATATTTCACCGCACAAAAAACTGGCATTTGTACAAGGGGTGTGCGGATGTTTCTATCCACTGTAAGCGTTTACCTTGACGACAGTGCGTGCAGGGCAGACATCTGTACATGCCGTTGGAGTGTTCAGTGTATGTGAGTCCATGCTTGCAAGGTGAGCACACCCCCTGCTGGTAATCACGCTCACACCCCTTCTGCACAAATGTCCCTGAGGATGACAGTCAAATCAAACACATGGCAAAGGTCAACCATTTGAAATGGTCCTACATTGCTTTTGAAATATGTTTCTTTTCGCAAATCTTTTGAGCGTGAAAATGGACGTCGTACCGGCCTGGCAGTTGAGGCAACAGAGGCCTTGGTAGTGGTACTGCTGGTTCTCCACGCAAGTCCTGTGCCGGCGCAGGACGGTCAGGTTCTTGAAGGCTTCATCTGACGGGGCGGACCACTGGGCTGAGGGGGGCTGCTCGGACGCTCGGCATGGAGAGCTCACCAGAAGGAGGAGCGTCGCCAGCAGCACCTGAAGGTTAAGCCGACAAAACAAAAATTTGCTTTATTGATGTGGAACGTCAATAAAGCTTTTTCAGCGGCATCGCGTCGAATGATTCTTCATGGGTCGCCTTCTGTCCTCAATCTGCTCAATGATTAGGAACATCTGACTAGCACCGGTACAACGCTACATGCTAACATCAGGCTAGCGCACGTTGTCCATCAAGGTCACGGGCGAGCTGGAGCCGATCGGCAGACGACCGAAGGGCGCATGGAGATAAATTTGGGTGAACGCTAACATTCACACCTATGGACAATTAAGAGTGGAACCAACACGCATGCTTTGGAGATGCGGGAAGAAGTCCGAGTTCCTGGAGAAATTCCAGGTAAGCATGGGGTCAATCAACATCAAATGACACAAAGGAGGTCTCCAGCCAAGAGGCGAAGCCAAGGACTTATTAAAGACAACAAAATAAAACAAACGATGCCATTTAGACAACTTGCCAAATAATTGCACAAGCAAACAACAGCAACGACAAACATGATCCAAACTTTATTTTCTCATCGTGGTAACTTGATTTATTTTATCTGTTGTTTTGACCAAAGTTGAAATGCTGGTATTTTACAATTGTGTCTGCACTTCAAGGCCGCATTCTCAAATGTTGGCTTTTTTCCCCCCCTTTAAACAAATGACCAGAAAGACAGAGTTTTGATACAATTTCAAAAACGCTTTTGTTTGGAGCTGCAGTGTTTGCCAAAATGGTTTTGCTGTTACTTGCCTGACACGCTAGTGATCATGCAGATGAAAAAAAAAAAAGTTTGTTTTGTTGTGGTCACTTCATTTATCTTTTGTGTACGGACCAAGACAAAAATATTTCAAAATTCCTCTCCAACTCAACACCTGATTTCCAAATGTTTGCATTTGTTTTTCATCAAAAACATGACTGACTTAGGTCAATGGTGCAAATACTTTGGTTGAAAGCGATCATAGTTGGCCTTCAACTCATATTAGCTAACATGGCATGTCTGTCTCGTTTATTTTGTCATTTTTGTTTAAAGTTGACTTTCTGGTTAGAACAATGGCGTTTCTTGAGTTGGTGTGCTTCTGAGTTTGAGAAGCTAATGACATGCTAGCTTACTTTTATTTTATTTTTTTAAAAGAGCCTCTTGATAGGAGTGCCGGTGTTTGCTAACAGCGGCGGCCGACGTGATAGCACAGCTATTCATGCGGCAGATAATGGCCGTTTTGTGTAGGTGGGCTTCCCAGAAGAATACTGGGCCGTGCCGCTTTAGCCAGGCCCCCCGGGCGCTGTCGTTTTTCTTCGCAAGCTTTTCAGTGCGTCAACGTGAGAAGGGCCCATTCACGGGCCAACAACACGCTTTAGTGTCTCGACTTCAAATGACCCGCATTCTTCCAACGCAGAGGCTTTGAACAGCTCGACATGCGACACCGACGCAAGGCGACACCGCCGGGATAAAAGAGAGACTGCATTGGAGGCTTTTGTCTCACAAAACACCACGCAGAATGTCTTAAGTTGAATTTAAAACCTTTTTAATGGCAAAAGCCCTGGCCACTAGAATAACCGGCCATGTTCCTTCATTTTTTTTCTCCAGTCATGTCAGCGAAGGAGAAGTTATAAAGATGTAAACATTTTGTCATATTTAATGTTACACTTTCACGATGGCAGCAGTCGACGGTAGAGTAAATACTGTATACAAGTTGTTTAAATGTGACTCTGTGATCGCTGATGGACCCCAAAAACCTTGATGGCGTGAACCCTACATGATTTTAAGTGTATTTACACCACACACAAATAGCCACCTTTAAAATGTATCCTTGAAATAATATGAAACCATCAATTAAAGAAAATATAAAATGCAGCAAAATCTAAGTAACAAACCAAATAGATCACGGATTATAACATTTGAACACCTAAGCATGACAATACTATTTATCGGGACCAAAACCTGCACTTTTAGGATATCGGGAGACAAGTTTAAAAAAAAAAAAGGCCATGTGCAAAAAGCCAAGGAGGAGTGTTGCCATGCCTCGTTGTAGGGACGAACTTTCCCCTTCAGTCTCTTGTCCTGCGAACCGCCCGCCATCAACCCCCCCATTGCTGTCTTCCCTTCCGCCTTCTGTTTCTTCCTCCTCCTCCTCCTCGCTGCTCACGTCAGACTATCCAAAGTGGCTGCGAGCAGTCACAATCAGGCCTTTTACATCTATCCAAACATTAGACGCAGGCAGAAGAAAGAGAAAAGGCGCGGGGGGGGGGGGGGGGGGTTTAGTGGTGTCAAGAAATGCCTGAAAACAGTGCGTTGTGTGAGAGCGCAGCGGGATGTGGGGAGGGGACGGGTACGTGAAGAAGACTTGGTGAAGCGAAGGCTCGCGTGAAAAGATCGGCGAGGAAGCACATGTGTGCCACGGACATAACAGGGAAAAAAAAAAGACAACTGGAGGTCTCAAAGTGCAATGATACACCAGCTTGACAAGAGCGCGACAACGCAGGAAACGGTCGCTAATACAAGACGTCACGTGGGCGTCGAACAACTGTTCGGCTCACTCACGCGGCGATAAAAATGTGGCGACGCTAACATTGGACGATTAGATTTTTTGGGAGTCACTTGGTGAAGGGTCATCTAATGATGACGCGTGCCATCATTATTGCGTATTAACTACGTTCATTTGAGAAAAAAATAAGAGTAAAATTGTTTTTTATTGCCAATAAAAAGCATCAAAACAATAACCACATTTCCAATTGGTTGAATTTATTTCAAGAGCTGAAAAGAAAAGAAAAACCCCGACAGAAGCTGCACAAAGACAACCATTTATATGCAACATTCCCGAAACAAAGTTTGTGAGTTGACATGTTTATCCACATTAACGCCATCAAGTCCAAATGGACTCTCCAAAACGGAGCGTGTGGGCACATAAATTCTTTTGGCTAGCCACACTGCGGCAGCACCAAAAACGAGGCGGCGGCGGGGGGGTGACCGTAACCCCAGTGTAGAAAAGCTTCCAAAGCCACAATCCTTGCAGGCGGTCGAGTCCACTTAGCACAGAGTGCCATTGTGATGACGATGCCACTTGTGCGCAAGTTAAAGCAATTAAAGTCACAATCAAATGAGGACGCTTGTGTCCGAGACTTCCTCTGAAAAGGTTCCGCTACCGAGGACAGGACATCTGCAGAGCTGCTTTATCAATGGGCCGTTTAAGCGACGACCATTTAGCGAGAGCGCGCATCCCCGAAGTGACGACTGTACAGCCGGCGCGCGGCAAACAAAAGGAAGGAGACGTTTATTCAATATTCTCCAGATGATTTTAGTCAGAGCCGCGACATAAGCGGGAACGATGTGTCCCCTATTACAGTGCCCGGCCGCAAACATGCTTTTCTCATTAAGTGCTAATCGTCCAGCGACACTTACAGGGATACAGTTTTAGAAAAGTGTATTTCGCAAAAGCAAAGTGGTTGTTACTGGCGTACGACTTATGACCTTTGTGTGCTTACATGTTTTTTCCTTTAATAAAAACAAACAAAAAATACTCTTTAGTAATGTACTGTATAAAACATACACCGATAAATGTGTGTGTGTGTTGTCCATACATATTATGTTTCTGAACATAATACAGTACATAAATTTTGAGCTTTACTGCTTTGGCTCTTCGTCTCGTGGCAAACCCCATTAATAAATCCCTGACGGCGTCCGACACTTTGCTGACTAGAATCATGATACCAAACTTTCCTAGCGTTTCATCTGTAACTCAAGCAGTGGAAAAAAAGCGTTGCGTGTCTGCGACTGCAGTTTATGCAACGCCGTTAGCCTTTGAGCGCTAGCCAAAACACCGCTAGCGGCGTGATTTGCTGCTCCAAGTCAAACAACTGCTCTGGATTCCCAAACAGCAGACAGCTGGGAGGTCAAAGTCAACGACGACTCAAACCAACCACTAATCACCAAACCCCGCCCACTTTCCACACCGAAGAGCTCGAGCTGGCAGAGAAATAAACCAGCGCCTCGTAAACAAACGTGACAAACGAGCGACATGCCTCTTCCCCGCCATCCCCATGCGTGCCTGTCCTTATCGCCGTCGCCTCCCTGCAAACCGCGAGGGCGGCGAGCATCCAACCGTACCCGCAGGCCAAGAGACGGCCATGTTAACACGTTACAGCTGTTACTGACAGGCCAACAAGCGCCGGGCTCAAAGCGGGATTGAAGCCGCGCACGTTGAATGACACTCGGAGCGTAATTGCAGAGCGAGTTCAAATATGACATTAATGAGTGCTTAATTGCACTTTGCTGCATCCGCCTCATCAAGACCTACAAAACAAGTCTGTCACTTGCAATTCGATGGTAGCCAAAAATCCACCGAGTGAGCCGTTTCACTTTGGTTGCCAATTTCAAACCGAATTTCGAATCGTGTTTCCCAACCACCGCACCGTGGGTGGCGTCATGGTGCGCAGACACTGCTTAAGTTTTAAAAAGAAATAAATATGCACGTCAACAGTCGCCCCAGCAAGGGTCGGTGTCGTCAATCGAGACAGGTATTAATTCCGGTGTCATAAAGCATCCGTTCTCAATGTTGGGGTGCGGTTTGTGTTCTCATTAGTCCACAGTTGCTGTCGATAAATTATTAGACGTCACATTTTGGCGACAATTATGGACTTGCACATGGCTGCCTTTGTCCCGGCGTACTTAATGACTTTAAGTATTAGACGCTGATCTGGACAGTACAGTCGACTAGTCAACTCAGCCACCGATGGGTTCAACCCCAATCAATTGTCAGTCACAATGGACCTCCAAAGATTCTCGGGTTCATGTTCCGATGGTCAAAATGTGCTATTCAACAACATAAAGCTACACTATAGAACCTTCTAGGTCTTGGTACTTGTAGTCCCGGTGCTAAAAGGCTACAATAGGTTCCGTACTGCAGATGCAATGGTTCCTGTACTTCTCGAAAGTATAGATTCTTACTTCACCCACCGATAAAAGATCCCATCATGAAATTAGAACAATTGCCGCCATAGTCCACAGTGACACACAAGTTCTCGAGGTGGTAATGTGCTACAAACATCTCAACAGTGAACACGACAATACTGTCTCAGTGGTTACTTGCACTCTGAGTGCATCTCCCGCGGCGACCGGCCAGCGTAAAAAGTGTGGTAAAGTGTTGAAGTATGCATGTACAATGGCGTGGAGAACGAGTGCAGGAGTGGGAGCGTGTGAAAAGCGGCAGCCCCCTCCTCTCAGGGAGAACAGGAAGCTGAGACAATACAGGGGCTTCATGCGGCACAGTCACCCTTCGACCACACAACATATCCGCTGGGCAGGATATTTTTAACCGAGCAATACTTGCAGCCCCGCGACACACATTCTTGAGTTTCCTCAGGAGGTGCGCGCGTGTGTCGCTTGCAGGTTAGGCGACGTCGGCAAACAATCGACGCTAATGAACGGCCAGCCTGGCGCGTGACCCGGGCTGATGTGAAACACATGAAGCCAGACAAGGCTGCTGGGGGGGTTTGGGAGAGTTTTCTGTTTTTCTTTGCTCGACCAAAAGGACGGCTGAGGGAACGCCAGCACACAGTCAGACATGTGCGCGGCCCGGGGGCGAAGGGCGGCCGCTTTTCCATTCTCGATTAGGCCTTAGCGGCCGCTCACAAGACGACTGGCAGTGTCGAGGAGGAGAAGGAGGAGGAGGGTTAGGACGCAGACATCAATGTGAGGGGGTGACTAACAGATTGAAGAATGCACAAGGAGCCTCGACTTTGCCCCGGCAAATCGCATTAGCGGCATCAAAGTGAGCCTTTGTGCCGCAGAATCGCAGCAACAATGTGACTTTTTTTTTTTAAATGAAAAAATATGATTTGATTGCATACATATTTTTATGAAGTTCCACACAACCCCTCCAGACACCTTCAATCCCAACAATGTACACAGATACCCGTGTTTAAAATAAATAAATGGAGAAAATCAAAGCCCTGATACAAATATTTATTTTTTAAGAAATCCAAATATTTTGAGGATTTTAATCCTTTAAATGCCCTTTTTTAATAATTGTTTTTTTAATTCCACACATCCATTTTTATAAAACAGTTTTTAAAAAGTTACTTTGGTAAAAAATGTTCACGTCAGTGCATGTTTGTGTCAGCTTAGTAGCAATGTGTCACCCGTTACTTAGCCAAAAAAAATATTAAAAAACCAACACTGACGTTTGCCTGAGCCAATGAAATGATTTACGAGAATGTGCAATAAAGTCATTTTATTAAAAGCCAGGGCGCGCAATGCAAAATTAAATTTTAAGTGGGTCGACTGGCTGCGTCACTCTTATGTGAACCGTTGACATCATCCCGCCTTGCTTTGGAATGCCGACTGCTGCCGCTGCCCGGGCACACTTGAACAGGTGACACTTGCCCGAGTGAGTCAGCCGCTCTCTGATTGGCTGTGCTGGTCACCTTAGCAACAACGTCAGCCCCCCCCCCCCCCCCCCCCCCCCAACCAACTCCAGCTCCATTAATCCGCCGAGTTGACGCAGCACCTGCACCAGGCATTGCTGGCCGGTTGCATCATTCCGCGCGGCGCCGATAAGCTATGCTCGGGTTTGGCTTGTCCCAGATGTCCGTCTTGCCCTTTTCTGTGCCATGAGACGGAGGTAGTGGACATGGGGCTGAGGGGGAGAGGGGGGGGGGCATTTCCTGTGTGAAACCACACCCAGGCAGACACAAGAGATAGGCATCAAGTTTATAGTGGCAACCGATGCCCCCTAATATCATGGTATGTGTGTACAGGAAATGGACAGGACAGGGAGGCACGTAGGCATGCTGTGCGTGTATGTGAGGGGGGGGATTAGCCTGCAGGCAGAGTCGGTGTGTGGGTAGATCAAGGGTGGGGGTCCTGTTTCCTCACAGTCCCCCCAGCAACAAGGCCACTTGGCGAGGCCTCCTCCAGAATGTACTGCGGTTTACACAAAAGATAAACAGTGACGTCGCTAACCGACATGAAGGGGGGGGGGGGCGGCGCTGGCCTTGCAGCACAAGTCACAAAGGTCTTTGCTGAGGTTTTGGATGTGGTGGGGTAAAAGTGTCACATGTCTGGCTACTGATGAGAAAGTGAAGAGGAGTTACAAATAGCAAGTGCGAACTTGAATTCAAAAGCCGGGAATCACAGAGGAACAATGTTGCCCTGCGCTGAGGATAACAAGAGTATCGCGATACACTCATTCGGTGATCATCAATTTCGGAAGCTTCACGATGTTTTGTCCCACGCATAACGGTAACTAACATGAAGCGTAACTTATTTTAAGTTAAATTACAACTACAAGGACGACTGATTTATGAGTAATAACATTTTTAAGCTAACATTTTCCCGCTACAATTATCAAGTTAGCATCGTTTGCAACTTGCGACAGTTAGTCACTGCTGGCTACGTTTGTCGCCAAGCAACCATCACGGTCTTCGAACCGAAAAGTCAGTTGATCGGCACTTGTGACCTCAAACCATTTAGTTATTGTCAGAGATAGTAGACGCTCTCGCGTATTCGGTGGACTAATGTTGGGAGAATGTTGTTAATGTAAAGTGTTACCGTGGTCTATGGTTAGCATCATTTGCGATATGTGACAGTAGCTGCTGGTTGTGTTCCATCAGTCGTTACACGACAGCATTAAAATCAGACAAATCTACTTACAATAAGTCATCCCTCATTACGCTGTGCTGTTTGTAGTGAGTTAATTTGTTTGAATTTGTTGATGCTCGCTAAATTAGTCAGATGAGAAAGAGAATGTTTGTTACAATTGTCTCAATGTCACAATGTGTGACAGTTTGTCACAAATGATCATTTGTATGTTACATTCAAATAAATAAGTCGGCACTATTCAAGGTCAGTAAAGTGACGTGGGATACGAATCTTTGATTATGTTACAATGTTCAAAAAATAAACAAGTAGTGGCTTGCTGTGGTGAGTCACCAGTCATTGTGTCAAATGTCGTCAGTCATAACTCGGTGCGAGTTTGTTGGTGCTCACAAGTGAGGTTAAACATTGCTGATTACTCCAAAGACGTCTGCTACGATAGCCACCACCAACTGCTGGTGACATTTAAACGTTATAATCAGTCATTTATAGCCAGCTACAGTTAGCATTGGTCGTTATTTCAAAGGTTCAATGTGGTCGTTTCTTGGTCAGAGTTTGTCAGTGCTCACTACATGACATTTGTTGCATTAGTCAGACCCAAGTCCTTAGCCGTGGACTTTTGTGGTGAGCTGTGTCTTATTATGTCAAACGTTTGTCATTGTCAATGAGAACAGTTTGTTATGTCATACTACTGGGCTTTTTTAGTCAAACCATTGCTCATAACTTCAAACGCTATGAATTGAAATAGTTATACTCACAGCAGCAAAGCAATTGTGTCAGCTGCAACTATTGTATCCGTGCGTTATGCTGGACTTCGCTTGTTGGAGTTTGTTGTTGCTCATTTGCATACATTTCCTCATCAGTTGGCCTGCAAGCGTTTGCTTCGGTAGCAACATCCAGGTATTATTTGCTACGTAAAAAAAAATTCCTTTAAGTCGATCGGCTGGCACCTGTTCACACTGAGAATTGCTGGCCGTACGACAGTGGCATCGAGCAGCGACTGACAATTACTTTTCACAAAATCACATGCCGGCCCCGGCTTTCCTCTGTACACTTTCACACAGCTGTGGAATCCACGGGTTGACATTGATCAGCCATTTTGTATGACACAGAACAACAATGCAGTTGTAACGATATCTTCATGAATCTATCTGTGCCAGCCACATATAGTGAGAGGCACAACAATTTAAATGCTCTTCCATTTGAGGTCAGAAGGTACGCTATCCACCTGTTGCCATTCATAGTAGTCATGGCTTCCTGCCAGTCTGTACAGTAGAACAGCTTTGTCTTCTTTGATTTCACGCTGTGAAAGTTAGTTTGTGACAAAAAATGAAATCAGCATTATTTCAGTATCCAAACTATTTGCTTGACATTTTTGTCCCCCCCCAGACACAATTTTACTGTATGAAACACACGCGCGCGAACACACACACACACACATTAGCTAAATGGCTAACTTGCCAACAGGCGGGCGGCTGGTTCCGGCTCAGTCCGCACCGGCGGCATTTCATATTGGCCCAAAAGTTCTTCAAAATTCGCCCATACCGCGGTCTTAACTTGCACAGGCACACTGTCCGTAGTTTATCTTGAATGTATACCAAAAAGAACACAAACACACATCGTACAACATTTCAAGTGGGTTTACTTACGCAGAATTTCCCGACAGCCGGCCCGGTGTTCATGTCCGAAATTCTGTGAGACTTCTTCAGTCTAACAAGTATCTTGACTGAAACACGCCACGGTGTAGGAAAAAACGCGATAAAAAAATAAAATAAAAGAGGCACAAACAAGCTAATCCGTCAGCCGATCTCTCATGGGTAAAACTTGTGAGCGGCTGTCTTCCAAACTTCCGAACTGCTGGCCAGACTCAGCTGCACTGATTCTTCCTTCTGGCTCGTCGGAACATTGTGGCGTCACAGCCAGTGCAACCAATCACGAACGAGATCATATTGAATATTCATGAGGAGGGATTGGCGGTCGTCGGGGGTCAACGCTCTTAGCTTTTTAAATACGTTTCACACAGTGGAATTCCACAGAAAAATTTACATAACATTATACTTCATATAGTTTTCATAACGCCTTATGCAAAGGAATATTAAGCATTTTTTAACCTATTAGACAAAACCTTATTGATCAATTGATATAAATAGTAACAAAAATTGGGATTAAACAAGATAATGGATCATCTGTTACCATCTTTTTTTCTTATCTTCATTAGCTTTGAGGGTGGCGGGGGGAGTAGCGGAATAGAAACAATACAGAAATAACTGAGCTTTACCGCTTGAAGTAATTTTTAATCTGATCAATGTTATGAAACAAAGAAAGCGTAACAAAGAGAATCTAATTTGCTATAATAATAAGCGTTACGATGCAAATAAGAGACTGCTCTTTCCAGGCCCCGGGTACGAGATGGTGTGTTGGGATTCTTGAAATGGTGATTAATGTGAAAATAGTCACACTTTTTGACATGAAAATCTGACTTTTAAATAAAGACATCAACAGAGGAATGTTTGCACTCCATTTAAAGCAATGGCGTATTTGCTCAACATCAAAAGACATAAACATCCTGTCCAACATGTCTCCGCCCAATGTTAATCTAATCGCATGCATCTAAAGTGCTGTCTGTCTGTGTAAATGTGTGTGCGTGCGTGTGGAATGTGCAGTGGATTTACAAAGTCTACAAGTTCCCGCTCAAATTGCATTTTACCATGATATAATAAATGAGATCACACTAAATCGTTTTCAAAATCCTTAGCACGACGAATCTGACCTATGATCTGCACTACTCACTAATAAAATCAATATTTCTCAGGCAATGTGTGCACATCTCTTAACTGGGAATGTGGCTGCGTTCAGAATTAACCAACCATATTAAAAGTCATGTTAAGTTGAAGTCAGAACACACGTGTCACCATTTAAAGTGCTTCTGATTAACTCTAAATAATTGCAGATGTTCTAGGAGGCTATTTTAGAAGAAGCCTGATGGTTTTTATGCTGTCACTGGCAGTTAACTGGAACTGTTCATAATTCATTTCACATTGACAAAGGCCACAGTTCCATCTTAAGAAAAACAGCCCCAGATCATGATGCGGCTTCCATGATGTGTCACTGTTGGTAGAATTATTGGTGATGAGCCAAACATACCTTTTGGAATTATGGTCAACCTTATTTTCAACACACTTGAAATTTTCCAAATGCATGATGCAAAAAGGGTTATGCTTGATGGGATCAAAGTTAAACTATTTGGCCAGAATTCCAAGATCTGTATTTGACGCAAACCCAGGACCGCTCATCACCGAAAGAATACTTTTGTCAAAGCATGCTTATGCATATGCAGATTTCCTGAGAATGAAACTGGACCCACGGACAAGATGGAATTATGAACAGTTCTAAGTGCCAGTCAGTTATAAGTGAGTGTGCACACTTGTGTAACTACATTATTTCACTTTTTTTGTTGTTTTTCTTTCCTGTAGACATTGATTTTTTTTTTCAGTTCAGTTGGGCAGGTGATAGGTCACACTCAGGGTGGAAAAACAATCAGAAATGATTTTATGTCACAAAACTGACATTTGAACAGGGGTGTGTGGACTTTTTAAATCAACTGTGTGTGTGTGTGCAAGCGTGCGTGTGTGCAAGCGTGCGTGTGTGTGTGTGTGTGTGTGTGTGTGTGTGTGTGTGTGTGTGTGTGTGTGTGCCCACAGAACATGTACACAGATGT